CACCCGAACTGTATGTCTGTTGTTCTCTTTTTTTAACATGTTGTATTGTCTACTGTTTGTCTTTCCCCGTTCCTTTTTGAATTGTGAGCCGCCCTGAGTCCCCCCAGGGAAAAGGGCGGCATACAAATAAAGGAAACTAAACTAAAATGCAATGCACAGAGTACGAAAACAGGCAAAGGATGGGAACAGGTGGGTGGGCAGGTGGGGCTTCAGCAACATTCATTGTGTAAGATGCACAGGCATTTCCACCCACTTTTGGGGGGGGAGTGTGTCTTATACTCTGAAAAAATATGGTACATAAGTATTAAATTCATGATGTGGCATCTGAATATCATTAGTTTTGATACATAATAATAGTGGTAATATTGATAATATTGTTACATTATTAATACTCACATAATTATAATATTATAAATATTAGCAAGTGGTTAACAAGTTAGTATATAATCCTACATCATTTAATTATTCAATATTTTAATACACAATACTAAAAACAGCAGTGACGTGCGGTGAGGTTTATGGCTGGTGAGGCAAGCGGGCAAAAGCTGCCCTGCCACCCCGGAGCTATGTCCGACATAGAGGCAGGACGCCATGTCCGTTTTATTATGTAGCTTACATTCTGGCTTTTACAGCCAGCACTTGTAAGAATAAATCTAACTTTGAAATATTTATTTCTTTTATATATTCTACTTAGAGTCATGTCTAAGAGGCAGTGTTAATCTTTATTTCTTAGCCAAGGGAGCCAGCATTGTTTGAAGATTTTTCCATGGTCATGTGGCCAGCATGGTTATATGCTGATGCACATGAAACACGGTTATCTTCCCACTGAAGGAGTACCTATTTATCCACTTGCATTTGCATGCTTTCAAATTGCTTGGTGGGCAGAAGCTGGGACAAGTAATGGGAGTTCACCCCATTGCAATGGCATTTGGGTCACAAACCTGGTCTGTCACTATTCATCTGACAAGCTCAACATTTTTAACCACTGAGCCATCACATCCCCTGATATATAACCCTTTCTAAGATACTTGAGGCATTAGGTTCCACATTTAATTAACCAAGTGAAATAGATAGAATACAAACTTTTGACAGGGAATCAGCAATAGTTTTGACATTTCACCCTCTTGTTGCTCACTGATAGTGTTTCTGATTTTTCTCACAAGATCTGAGATACATAAAAGGTTACTTTGATTAATGAAGCATGAATTCTGCCAAGTACATACATTGTTAAATTAGGAAAAACAAATTCAAACAAAAATACTATACATAGACACCAGTTTCCCAGAAATGGTCAATATCAACAATGTACAAGTAATAGGGTAACAAAATGGAGTGCATGGTGTGTTTTTAAATCTATCTTTTCTTTCCTCTTTTTCTTTTGATTTGTTTGTATTGTTAGCCGCCTGGAGTCTTACGGGATTGGGTGGCATACAAATGTTATTAAACTTCTAAACTTTAACTTTGGAGAGTATGGCAGTTTAGTGCAACAATTTAAACATACAATGTATGTTTAGGAAGTTTACCTTTGCAAAGTGCTTTCTAATTATTGAATAACTATATTTTCACACTTCTGAAATATTTTGTATGCAGTCTTGTAGAAAATATGTGTACGTAATACATTAAACATCTAATGTGTTGAGTTTCAGTTTTAATTGCTGCAGTTTTAATCACTGCAATGTAATACATATATATTTAAAGTCTGAAAATGGTTTTATACTTGTAGGCATGTCTATAGATTATCAACAAATTACCAGTGATTGAGGCAGCTTTAAAAGCCTGCATTAAGTTCTCCAAACTTTAGCCCAACACATAAGCTAGCACTACACAACTTTATGCATAATTCTTTTTCCTGTGCAGATGAACATGAAAAACTGCACACTTATACTGTAAAGTAGAAGTTTTGTTCAGTATTTTTGCTTGTAAGAGAAATTCAATCTTCAAAAACAATAGATAAAATAATTCTAGTAGCCTTGGGCAATAGTGTCAGAATAGAATAAATGGACTTTGTAACAGGACTTTCCTTTTCATCCAAATTCTATAATAAATTCTGTGGAACACATTCATCTGGAAACAGTGCTTTGAATCTGTCAAGATAATTTTGTTTATCTACATACATCAACAAATAAACCTCCTTTCCAGAATATTCTTCAAAGGGATGGAGGAGACCATCACTTTCTTTGGTTTCACAGAAATGAAATTTGCATTCTAATTCCTATTTGAGTGAAATGCTGAAAGTATTTCTCCTTTGTCGTGATTAGGTTTCTTAAGGGAAAAAGTATCCTGTTGTTTGATTAAAAAGCCCAGGTTGTTATTAGCAAGCTGGAAGCAATTATAGGGTCTCTGGGAAGCTTTAATCAAGTCTTGTGTGCTGATTGAGATGTAATGTGCAGAAGTAGGAAAACATAATAATAAAATAAAATTCTAAGAGTACCTTCCATGCCCATAGTTCATCAGCATGTATTATATAATTGCATAGCCAATACACAGCATGGTATATGAATGCTTTAGTCAAAATGTAAATATCTTAATAATTTAAGTATGTTTTGTGCATGAGTGATTTATATATTTATTATTCATGGTTACCGTAATGTTTTTACTTGTACACGATAAACTAATCTGTCTTGGCTTTGTATTTATTTATTTATTATCTTTGCCACAACTTTTTTCTTAATATTTTGGAAGTCTGCATTTACTTCTGCCATTTTAAAAGACATTAGGAACATAGTTGGGTAAAGTCTAAACTTAATACATTTTTGAAATTTCTAGGAAACCCTGGAAATAGCAAATTATGTGAAGCAATTATGGTTTGCGTTTTTCACAGTTACTGTGGAAAAGTTTGCACATTCTCCTGAATTATAAAATTGCATTATGCCTTTATCTTTTCAACTAGAACTAGAAGTAATCATCTTTATCATAAGAAAAATGCCAAAATCCATATCGGGATAGTAAAACTTCATCTAGCAAACTCAAAGATCACAAACCCAACTCCTTAAAAACTGGAGGCCAAAAATTGTAGCCAACTTTTTCCAGTGACTTAATTTATTACATCCATGTTTACTTTGGCTGTCTCCCCTTCCCCCAAAAGGACTTTAAATGCGTAAGATTCCAGCTGCAGAGAACTTCATGGCTATACGGTAAATAAATTCAGGGGGAGAAAAAAATCAGCCACAGTTCTGCATTATAGAGAGTTAATACCTTGAATGCTATTTTGTGACTTTTTGAGAGGAATATTCTAAGACATTTTTGGCTTGATGGCTATGGTGATTCCCAGTCATCCAGGTCATAGTTGTCCCAAAGGTGCTTTTCCAAGAGGGACCTGGACTCTCTGGTTTATCTTTGAAGAAATTTCTTTTCTTGTGCAAGAAGCTTCTTCAGCTCTGGCTGGGTGGTGGGGAATGGAAAGATTTATATTCCTTGCAGATGGCTGGTCATTTGCATTCTTTTAGAGCAGGACTGTCAAACCTGCAGGTTCATCTGTGTTATCAGGGTCACCTGAGTAGTGCAAATGGATGTGGAGTCTTCTTTTAATTGTTGAAAGGACTGTGTTGTAGACTGGAAATAGATGATGACGTATCCCTCCTCCTCTGTTGAGCGAGAGCTGTTCAATTCAAATTCAAAATTGCATTATTATATACATTTGCATTATTTTGCCATTGTTTTCACTGCAATCACACGGAATTTGATCACTGACTTGGTGATAGTATGGTTGGAATCTTAAAATATGATGATTGGGATAATAGATATTCTTCAGTCCTTCCTGGAAGATGTTTCAGCAGGATATTATATAATCAGTGCAAATACATAAAAATTGTAGTAAAACAATATATGTTGGATGATTTCTGTTTTCCCAGAGTTGTATGTATAAGCTATATATAATATGCAGTTTAAGCTTTCAATTTAAGCTGTTATGCATAATATTAAGCTTTCAATTGAAGGTGTTATGTTTAATAATTCACAGACAGAATATTAAACAGATGTCTTTCTGAGTTTCAGATGTATTGATTCAATATAGTTGCCATGTATACACTTTTTTTTAGCTAATGCTAATCTAAATAACACACTTTGCACTAATAAGATGATAATAATTGGCACTGGTTAAAACAGGCAATATTGCAGACATATATTGATTGTTACCTTGCAGATTTAGAACTGCAAGCCCAAGTGCTAAATATAATGTAGTAGAATTATATCAAGACAGCTGTATTCAGGGCAGTTGTTATTGTACTTTCAACTACAAACACTAGAAGAGCCAATTTCACAAATTTTGTTTCTGATACAAAAGTCATTTTTAAAATAGCAAGCCAAAGTATTTTACTAATTGTTATTTGGTTAGAAAGATATACAACTGCTGTTTTAAAATCCATTTTGGAAATTACTTATTGGAAGCCTTCAAAATGAATTTAATATGCCATTATGAAGCACTGACATTTGCTTTTACAGATTCAGTAACAACAGCTTCTGGGCCACTGCTTGTCGAAGTTGCCAAAACCGCTGGTTCTGCTCTGGGCGTTGCGCTATCTACCTCAATGTGTTGCAGCAAGCAAGTCATTGTTATAGATAAAATAAAATCTGCAAGTATAGCAGATAGGTGAGTTGTAGTGCACCCTGTTTTGTAATTCATCTGTATACAAATCATATGGAAACATAATCTGGCACTCAGGAGAGCAATTTACACAATAAGAGTATGGATAGCAGAACAATCAGAAAGAACTAAATTGTAGACAGGTCAAAACTCAAAACCTCAGCTCCAAAAATGCTTTCCCTCAAAGTTGTTCCTCCCCAAATATCTGTTAAATATTTAATGCTACGTTTTCTTCAAAAAAATTCTTCCAACTATTTAGTTGAGTTCAATTTGCCCTCCTTTCAATCTCTGCAATTCTTTGGTGTCTCTGCACTCGAGAGTCCTGGGAATTATAGGCAGGTTAACTACTTGCCTGTTCTAGACAAACTGGCAGAAATGGCAACCGAAATTATTTTTTTCTAAGCATATTGAAGAAAAGCCTTACCAAATAAAAATCAGCATGGATTCCATAAAGGCAATCCTGCCATATCAGTCTTGTAATCAAATAAAAAAAAGTTATGAAAGAAATAACCGTAAAACCAGGGAATGATATACTTCAAAATCATACTGGACTATTTTGAAATGTTTTCTTTTTTTCCATAGATGTGGTGCACTGCATATAGGTGATCACATTCTGTCTATTGATGGTACTAGCATGGAATACTGTACTTTGGCTGAAGCAACACAATTTTTGGCTAATACTTCTGACAATGTCAAACTAGAGATCCTTCCCCATCATCAGACACGCCTTGCACTTAAAGGACCAGAACATGGTAGGATGATTATATTTCTATTATGTTCATTGAATTATTTTCATTTAGCTGTTTGAATTCATTGGGACTTGATTGGAATAAATGTGCTTCACGTGAATAGAATTTAATACTGAGGTAAAATCATTTGGGAGAGTGGCTTTACTTATGTGAGAGAGTAGCTGAAGACTTGCCTAAAGATTTGCATATAATTTTGTTTTTATAGGTATCCATCATCAACAGGTGTTTCATTCTATACTGCTTTAACTACCTTATTTATTGTTATTTGCAACAATGTAGTTCTGTGCATACTGAATATTCCTCTGAGTATAAATTTGCAATCATTTTCAGCCAATATAAGATTGGCTAAAATTTAGGACTTGGTTAATAGGACTTTGGTTGACACGAAGCAAAAATTAAATTTGCTCAAACAAAATTTCATGTTACTGTGTTAGTAGCAAGAATATTGCTTAGCTATCCAAGGTGGATTAAGAGAATTAATGACATCTTCTTGTCCAAAGCAGTGATAATTATATGTTAATACCTTAATTAATAAATTAAAAGATTTAGGGTGGAGTGAAATGCAAGTTAGAGTGGTAATGATAACTAATTACTCTCAGTAAGCGGACACTAAGCGGACACTAACAGGCAAAAAGAAAGGAAATATCACGTGAGATGAATATTTCTTTCGCTTGTATTTCTCACAAAAAAAAGCATATCTTGATATTACAACAGGGCTGGAGAATAAAGTAATAACTTTGGTTTTGAGAAAAAGTGAATTGCATAATAAATATTTTTTTAAAACATTATACCTAAGAAGAGGCAAGATCAGCAGTGGGATTCACTTACCTTCCCTACTGGTTCACAAATGTGAGCATGCGAGAGTGCTTTACTTGCATGTGCCACATCTCTGCATGTGCACCGCCTTCTGTGCATGCGCAGTGCTCACGCATTATGTCGGGGCAGATGGGCGGAGCCTCCCACAGCCGCCGCTACCGGTTTGCCTGAACCAGAGAGAACCTGAACTGAATACCACCTCTGGACAAGATGATAGAAAAGAGTTATGAGGAAATTTCTTCAATCCCAGAATCCTTTGTGCACAACTTTCAGATTTTGGTATAATTTTTCCCTATTTGTGGTGCTTTCCTTGAAAGATCGGTGTTTATAATCATAAAAGAAATTTTCACAAGTAGAAAAGATTCTTTGCTACAAAATGTACACTAAAACAGGGGAAGCATATGCTGTATTTTATGGGTTAGGCATAATCTAGTTAATTCAGTGTGAAATGCATGAATAGAGATGGTGTCTCTTTTCATTCAGAAAGTACTCAATCATTGTCCTTCCTGGATGATTAAATCTGCCAAGTTTCCACTGGTCAAGAGAGTTGATCAGTCCCCCTCTGAATGTGTAACGGTTGCCATCTGCTTAAGAAGGCAATTATAAGATTGTTAACTGCAAAAATCCCTTGATTTGGAAAATCTCTGTAATTATAGAAAGCTGTAAGGCTCAAGCATTCTGCTCCATGGGTAGAGTGGTTGAGAAAGTAGTAATCTTACAGCCCCATAGGATTTAGATAAAATAATTACCTGAACCCATTTCAGTCAGTGTTTCATCTGAGATGTCCCAAGAGTGATTCAGTTGTGCTAGTGGAGGTCTGTTTCAGAAGTTAGAAATGGGGAGCTCCCATATTCTTCAGGACTTTTGATGCTATTGTCCATGGCACTGAGGACATGTGATGTAGTGGTAAGGTCCAAGTTGCCTTTCGTTCTGCCAGTAGTGATAAGCTATTAGAGATAGTTCTTATAAAGATTGGCAGAACACATGGGATAAGGACACACCCAGCGGCTATTAAACCAATTAATGCTACTATAGCCTGTAATCCTGGGAGTTTGGGAAACCAAGTGCTAAACATTTCCTTAAAATCAAACCAATTCCATACCTGGTCAGGATTGTGTGTGAGTTGCCGCATCTCTGTTGTCAACCATTTTGCCCGAGGTGGAATCAAACTGAGGAGAGTATACGGATTGGACACAGAGGGGTGTATAGTGACCATCACATTGTTAACGATCCTCAAATCCTGCAACAATTCTTCAGACTGTTCTGCCACCGCGTCTCCCTGTTAAATATTCATTAGTTAACATTCAATATTCATTGCATTCAAGCCAGCAACAGCCTCTTGCGTCCTCATTGGCTGAGACGCAGCAGAGGCTGTTGCCGGCCACAGTTACTTGCTGATTGGCCGAGGCTCTGACGTCAGCGGTTGCTGCCCAGTCCTCGGCCACTGATTGGTTACATAGTTATATATACCTTGGCGCGCGGTTTCCCCTTTGAATCGCTGTCACCGTCTTCTACCGTTTTAAATAAAGTGTTAGTTGTTTGGAAACCCTGGCTGTCGCGTCCTCCTTCCTCCAGAATACAAAACTCCCCACTGATCTATGTACTGAAACTGGTTTGGGTATTTTTCCTCATTAGCAGCTATCAAGGAGGTTAAGTCATCAATGGTTTGAAACTTGAATGTACCCTCCGGGGGCCAATTAACTCCCATGTGGGGCCATTGCTGTTGACACAGGTATCGTAGTCTCTCCCTAGTTACTTTGGGATAGGGCACCCTATATTCGGTGTGATTACAAGGTTATGTAACTTTTGTGATACCCAGATTGTTAATCTCAATTATCTCATAGTGATAGGTTCTACCTTGTTGCCTTTACTGTTTAATATCTACGTGAAACTGCTGAGGAAAAGATGCAGAGCTTTGGAGTGGAATATCAGAAGGCTAATGATATCTACTGTTTTCTATAATCCAGTTCCCAGGGTTTAATCAATATCCTTAAACATTACCTGATTTTGATAATGGTCTTGATGAGGGACAGAAGGCTGAAATTAATTTCAGATAAGGCGAAGGCACTATTGATCAAAAGAAATTTGAACTCAAGAACTGAGATAAAATTTGTTTTGGTTGGGGTGTTCTCCCCAAGAAGAGCAGTTGTATATTTTGGGATTACATCTTGACCCCTAGCTGACCTCAGATTTCAGGATAAAGGTGGAATAAGAGCACAATTGCACAAGTATGGTTAGTACATGAAACTGCAACCCTGAGACAGCCAGATTCACTGATAGTCATGCGCACTGCAATCTCTCTTGATACCAAAACATACATTATTTGGGGGTAAAATTCTGGTGCAGAATGTGATGGCCAATCTATTACCCAGTGCAAGGTACAGGATTCAGTCCTATATTGAAAGATAATGAAATCCAAGTGAAGATGCTTGGGTTCGTGTTTAAAGCCCTAAAAAGTTACAGCCTGACTCTCTGAGAGGCAATCTCTCCCAGTACTGTAGGAACATACCTGGTCATGATCAGCAAGAGAAACTTTTTTGAAGATGGTCCCATTGTCAGAGGTTCACCTGTTTGATTTGTGGGAGAGTATCTTCTTCTATGAGGCTCCAATCCTATGTTATGTACTCCACAGAAAAGAATATTTGATTCCACTCCCCCAAATTAGGAACACATTTTTTCCAACCTTATAATTGTTAATATCATTGTTACTGATTTTAATTGACTTTATGTATATTTTATTTTATTCCAATCTATTTTAAGTATCTGTACAAAAGAAACAATATAAATTTAATAATAAATAAAGGTGTGTGATTCTTTCCAAATTACTGGCGAATAAGAACATGTTCTGTTTAGTGTTAAAAATGTTTTTGTTTGTTAATTGCAGCAACATTATACCTAGATAACCCATGAGAAAAATATACAAATATGATTGATAAAAGAATCCAAGAGGAAACTTCCTTTCAGTCCTTAGTGAATAAGCAAGGAGAAATTTGAAGTCTATTTTATACTTTTTTCATGTTTTGTGTCAATTTATAATAATTTAACATCTTAGCAATGCAATAGCAATAGTGCTTAGACTTATATACTGCTTCACAGTGCTTTCCAGCATTCTCTAAGTAGTTTACAGAGTCAGCATATTGCCCCCTCCAACAATTTTGTGTCCTCATTTTACCCACCTCGGAAGGATGGAAGGCTGAGTCAACCTTGAGCATGGTGAGATTCGATCTGCCAAATTGCAGGCAGTCGGCAGTCAGCAGAAGTAGCCTGCAATGCTGCACTCTAACCACTGCGCCACCATGGCAATATAAGAATAATTGGAAATTCTCATATATTTTAAAGAATATATAGTTAATAAGTTTAGGATTACTTTACCCTCCTTTTTACCTTTTGATGGAAGGAGGGGAGAATCCTTAAGGTAAATTTGATTCAGAAGTGACCATTACAAGGAATAGCATTCGTTTCCTTTCTTGCATTTGTGATGAAAAATAGCCTGAAGAAATTCAGAGCAATAAATTATGACTTTGAATGTCTGTTTTGTCTTTATTAATAATTATCCAACATTGAATTTTTGTTTTGATGTTTAAGAGATGGAATTCATTGCCCTGAAAAATATAGTACCAGAGATAGATGCTGATAAAATTAAAATGTCAAAGTAATAAATTGAAATGACTGACATGTAAGCCACTCTAAATTACTATGAAAAATATATAGTCTCCTGTTTGATTTTTGGTTTTTTAATATATACACATTCATTTGGGGGGGGATATTTTCTAAATTTAATTACTAATTGTATCTTATTTATGCCAAGGTTGGATTAAATGACTTCTTGAAAGGGTTTAATAATGGTAGCTAAAGACAAGTGCAGATTAAAAATTGATTGTAGATGTTCAGAATTTTTTTGAGGGCTCAAACCCATCAGTGCTGGCGTTGTGGAAGGTTGTGGCATACATCCTAGGATTTGCTAATCACCAGAAAAAGGAGATTGTAGGAACAGCATATTTTTCCAATTACTTTCATTTCCCTTTTTAATTTATTTATACAGTATTACCCAATTACTTTTCCCCGTTTACTCATGATTTTCTGGTTTATTTTCTTTTCATTTTTTTAATATGTACTTTCTCTCATTCCTCCATGTGGGCAGTAAAGGTTCAAAGGAGCAACAAGCAGACTCTATGGGATCTTTATGCCAACCACAGCAGTGCCCTCAGTTGCCACCATTATAACACCAAACACCCTGATCATTTCAGGACGCCAGCTTTGAAATGCCAGAAAACACCACCTCAAAAAAGTCCTTGTAATGTTCCATACTTTTTCCATCTGTTGTTGTGTTATTGTTGTTTTCCTAATGACATTCTTTTTCTCATGTTCTTTTCCTATTTCTGGCTTTAAAAACTTTTGGTTTCATAGGATCTCAGTGCTTGTCACAAGTATGTTCAGGTTATTCTGACATAGTATCTTTTTCTGCTCTGATTCTACATTTTCATAAAGAAAGTTTTTGAAAACTACAGAGGTTCCAGTTTTCCTAAGCACATTGATGTATGGTTAAGTACTCTTTCAAGGAAATACTGTTAAATGCAAAATCTATGTCAGAAATTATCTTTTTCAAATGCTAGATTTGAAATTTTGATTTCTAATCACATTGGTATGTATAATTTCACATTTTTAGAAACGGTTGAAGTAATTGTGAAAATGACAATAGCCTATTTATTTAAGAAAAACAAAGTTATACCTTTGTTCAAGCTGATATTTTTTTAAATAATAGACTTCAACCTAAAATTGTTATTTGATGCTTAGATTTCATTAAGTTTCCGATTTGGTTACTGGAGACTTATACATTTTAGGCAGTGTCCAGCTTATAACAGATAGTTACAAACACCAACTCTAGAATGCTTTGCACCAAATGTGCCCTTCTCTTTCAACAGCCTTGGTATCTTCATCATTCTCTCCTGCCTCCATGAGCGCATACAGCTTGAGTTCACTAAATATGGGAACTTTACCACGCAGCCTCTACTCTACTAGTCCAAGAGGAACATTGATGAGAAGAAGAATGAAAAAGAAGGACTTCAAAAGCTCATGTAGGTGATCACAAAGGTTATTTGATTTAGAACATAGTTATGAGTCACATCTATATCTATACTGTATAAGTACACTGTAAATAAGATTTATTTGGAGTTGTAAATGAATCAATTATTATTTGATGTCTACATTATTGTTCAGCTACTTCAAATTCTTTGTGTACTAATGGACAGTAGCAAGACAGGATCCTTTATCAGTAAAATTGTCTTTGAGGTCTTGTAAACTCATGTTTATGGGTTTGGAAATCTGCAAGCAGCCTCAGGAAGCAGTCTCATAACAATCCAGCAATTAGAGAAGCAATCTTGGAGCAAATCAATCTTCATGAAAGTATATCTTTTGGTACTTTTTATTCCTGCTTTTTTGGTTTATGAGCTTCTCTCCTTAACTATACTTATAAAAATGGTAGTCATTTTTATCTGCTAAGTAGAAGCTTGGCAATTTCTCTTATAGAAATTGTAGCCTTATATAATTATTTACAAATCTGTTATTGTGATTGCAGTTGGTGGGTTGTAGCCATCCATTTAATAATTATATCCAAAATGGACAAGTACAATGGATTATTTTCCATCAAGATTAGATCACTAATGCACTTGCTAAATCTTTTTGAACCAAGGTCCACAACTCCTGGGCCACTGACCTGTTCGTGGCCATGCAAGTGAGCGAAGCTTTATCTGTGTGGCCTGCATGGCCTGTGTGGGATCTAGATAGCACGAGCACGTGAAACAACACACACCCAGCCCGTGAAATAATTGTTTTCTATGGAACTGATCCTTGGTGCCCAAAAGGTTGGGGACTGCTGCTTTAAAAGGTTTAAATCCTTCCTGAACAAATTTTGAGTAGAATGGCCATGGTAGAGAAGCATAAGAAAGCCTCCCTGGATGAGAAAAAAAATCAACCTTTGTGTCAGTGCATGTAACCCAATGTTATTATTTTCACAAATATCTACTATACACAGCTTTTCTTTTGTACTATAGTCAGGCTTTTCTGTAATAAATATTTATCAATAGGACACTTAAAATACAAAATTTAATAAGTCTAGCTTTTTAAAGAGAATCTAGGATATATTTGACTGCAAGATGTATACAGTTGTATTATCCTTTGTATTAAAATAGTGTTGCAAGCCTGGTAATAAAACATATCAATCACGCGGCTGGGACCTTCTAGTAGTCAAGTATTTAAGGGCCATAAATTTGATTGGAGTAAAGACAGTCAATCCTCTGATTCTGCGACTGAAATAACTGACCTATGAGGTTTTAGATCATTCTTTCACCAAGCACTAATTCTAACATTCCTTGCTCTTCCTAGGTTTAGCTAAGTACTACCATATGTTGATTCCAAATTTTAAGTATTCTAAGTGAAAATGGTGACACTTGACATTTTATTACAGTTTTTACATAGATAGTATTTGTATCAGAAAATGAATTCACTTGCTATCATTCTGAGTGTCATTGTTTCTGTTTAATATATTTTACAGTATCACTAGCCTCTAGCACTGTTGGCTTGGCAGGGCAAGTTGTCCACACGGAAACGACCGAAGTAGTGTTGGCAGCTGATCCAATTGTAGGATTTGGAATACAGCTCCAGGGTGGTGTATTTGCTACAGAGACATTATCATCTCCACCTCTGATTTCCTATATAGAAGCTGACAGTCCAGCAGAAAAGTGAGTTTTTTTAAAATGATTGGTAAAGTTATTAGCCCTCTTTATTGCTTAGCCTTAGAACATCTTCGATCCCTTGCAGTAGATATTTTCTGGATTCAGATAATTTCTCAGGATTGTTCACTAAAAAATGTGAGACATACGGAATTTCCTATTTTGATTTCAAAAGGTTTTTTTTAAAAAAATGCTCAAGCATGAGAAAAATCACAATTACCGTATTTTTTAGACTACAAGATGCACCGGAGTATAAGACGCACCATAATTTTGAAGAGGTAATTTTTAAAAAAAAAAGTTTTTGCACTCTGCAGGCCTCCCAAATGCTCTGCATGCCTCATTTTTTGCAAAAAAAAGGGGGGGCAGGTGACATGCAGAGCTTTGAAAGGCTTGTGAAGTGCTCCTGGGAGTGGCGGGGGTCAAAAATGAGCAAAAACAGCCTGTTTTTTTGCTTGTTTTTGCCCCCCCAACCCCCAGGAGCACTTTGTAAGCCTCCCAAATCCTCTGCACATCCATTTTTGCAAAGGTGGGGGGGGGGTGTTCAGTAGGCCAAAAATGCTGTATTCAGTGTATAAGATGTACCCAGATTTTCACACTTTTTTTGAGAGGAAGGTGCGTCTTATACTCCGAAAAATATGGTACTATTTGCGTTATCTAGATAACGACCATTGAGAGACAATTGGTTTTAAGATAATTAGATAAGTTTTTCCCAGTGGAATCTGTGGAGCTTAATTAAAAACGTGCTATTTTAGATTAGCAGGAAAGTATAAGGACCCATGGTGGTGAAGTGGTTAGAATGCAGTATTAAAGGGTAACTTTGCTCACTACCAGGAATTTGATCCTGACTGGCTCAAGGTTGACTCAGCTTTCCATCCTTCCGAGGTTGGTAAAATGAAGACCCAGATTGTTGGAGAAAATATGCTAATGTTGTAAACTGCTCAGAGAGTGCTGAGAACCACTTAGAGAAGGCTGCAAAGCACTCTGCAGCAGTATATAAGTCTAAGTGCTATTGCTATTTCAATTTCCCGGTTCAGTTATAACTGATATATGATACTTTTATGCTATAAGCAGCCCAGAGTTTCCTCAAAACAAGGTAGGTGACAAATAAATGTAAATAATAATCATAATCATAATAATCAAAATAAGCTAAGCAATTATGGAGGAAGAAATGAATGGTTATACCAATAGTAATAAGAGCCCTTGGATCAATACCCAAAGGACTACCTAGATACAGGGAAATTTTGAACTTATTAGACTTGAATATCCTGATTTTGCAAAAAAACTACCCTACTTGTAACTACCTATATACTCAGATTCTACCTTAATAGCTCGGTTAGGACTTGAACTATTAAGTTTTTACCAGTTACCAAAATAACAATAACAATAACAATCTGTATCAGAAAAATCATGGCAACAAAAAGTAAAAAAAGTTGCCAAAAATGGGAAGATGAAGATCTTGTGGGACTTTCGAATACAGACGGATCATCATTTGGAACCGATGCAAACATACATCTGCTTTAACAATTGCAAGTGAAGAACATTTTTCACTCGCGTGAACATTGAAAATCCCCCTCTTTTTAACTTAAATTGAAAAACATAAAAAACCCTCATTATCACCACTGCTTTTTAAAACTATTTTATGTTAATATTTTATGCTAAAACCATGCTGATCTTAAACATAGAATAATATAGTTTCCTTGGAACAAAATTAGATCAAATTGCAAATTTTTGGATATGATAACTGAGCAAGCTTTTAATGGAGAACTTGTAATTTTGTTTGTTATCTTTCATAACAGTTAAATTGAGTTTATTCCTTTTCCATATACTGGAATCTTTTTTTGCTTCATTTTGTGTGAAGGTGTGGCATCCTCCAAATAGGAGACAGAATACTGACTATAAATGGGATCCTAACTGAAGATAGCACATTTGATGAAGCTAATCAGCTCCTCAGAGATTCTTCTATCACTAGCAAGGTCACTCTGGAAATTGAATTTGATGTTGCAGGTATGAGTAGTTGAGTGTTTCACACTAAAATGGTGAGAATTTAATCCATTTGAATTTGTTATCACACATACCTAGACAATCCTAGTATATGCCAAAAAGTTTATTAATATTCATCCTGAATCTTTCAAAGTAGAGGCAGAATTTATTTTGTGGCTTATTCAAATACAACATAAACCATAGGCAGGAAAGGAATAATTAGAAGCAATGTATTAAAAAAGAGTTGAAATGATAAAATTAACAATCCATGTATAGAGAAATGAAAAGAAAATAAATTGCCTGAAATTTTCTATCCATTATTAATTACAATCTTGGTGTAAAATTAATTAATTACAGTGTTGGTGTCTATTAATTATAGTCTCATTAATTACAGTTGTGGCTAAAAGAGCCTTTGCACCACTTTGTGTTGTATACCTGTTGTGCCCCAGTGTGGCAAGCCTGGTCACCTCATCCTTGGACTACTAGAACGCGCTCTACATGAGGTTACCCTTGAAGAGTATCCAGAAGCTTCAGCTGATGCAGACGCAGCTGCATAGTCAGTTCCTGGACCCCTATAGTTATCCATGTTACATTGCTGCTCTATAAGCTGCACTGGCTGCCAGTTTGCTTCCAGATCCAATTCAAGATGTTGGTCGTCACATTTTCCATGGCAAGGGTCCAGGCTATCTGATAAACTGACTCACTCTGACGGAATTAGCCCACCCACTCATGACAGCAGAAGGGGCATGCTGTGGACCCCGTCAGTCAATGAATTTTGGCAGGCAAGGTCCAAAATAAGAGCTATTCTGCTGTGGCTCTTGCCCTCTGGGGCATTTTGCTGCCCCACCGCCTCTCTAAGTCAGTTCTGCTCCTACTATTGTGCCCTTCCAAAACTAGATTGGAGCTCTAATTGTGATGTGGCACATTGGGAGTGTATAATGGAGTATAAAATACCCCACCTTTCTCTGGGCATACTTTGCTTCCTCCCTCTCCATCCTGCTTAGTTTGATTTTAATTGAATTTTAAATTTAAAACTTTCATTTATTGTTTGAATGCTTTATTCTGTATTTTATTCAATATCTGTAAATTGCTTAGAGTCGCCTTTGGCAAGATAGGTGGCATACAAGTTTGATTGATTAAGTAAGTATGTATGTATGTATGTATGTATGTATGTAAGTAAGTAAGTAAGTAAGTAAGTAAGTAAGTAAGCAAGTAAGCAAGCAAGCAAGCAAGCAAGTAAAGGTACTGTTAAATATGAGCTAAGAATGGGTGAGATTTAAAATATATATAAAAGAATAGGATTAAGATTACTTTTTATCTTATAATAGTATATGAAATGATATGATAGAAATGTCGATATAATAATTGACTGAATTATCATTAAATTCAGACTGCTGATAAGTATTTGTAGCATCAGAATGTTAAATATTTTAAGCATACTTGTTATCTTAATAATACTTTATGCAACAGTAGTAACACTATTTTTAGATAAGTATTTCAGTATGTTGAAAGGGTTTTTCTAATAATTATGGTATACAATTAGTTAAATCAATGTTGGTCTTTAAAACTTTTTAATTTTTATGTGATATTATTATTATTATATGTTAATGTTTTCTCTTCTACTTTTCAGTCCTTTACCTTAATAATCAATGCTATTTTAAATCACTAACCTAAAATATAGTTCAAGATTTGCTTTACTTACTTTTTTCACTGAGAGTTGGGAACTGCTTGAATAAGTATGCTATATATGAATTATGAAAATGCTACAAATCAAGTTCTACTTGTCATAAATGAATAAATGAAGCACCTTTTAATTACAGAATCTGTCATACCAAGTAGTGGCACTTTTCATGTAAAACTACCAAAGAAGCATAATGTAGAACTTGGCATCACCATAAGTTGTAAGTGAAAAAGATTTTTTTCATCATTTTTTTCTTTATAATATTGTAGAGAATTGTAACATGATAGTGTACAATTTATCTTGCTTTGTCAAATTAGAGTTATTGTTATTATTGTTGTTGTTATTGTTATTTAAGCTGGAATCTACTAAATCACTTAGGTACATGAAATTTTGTCAAGCTTCTGCAATAATTACATCTTTCTTTTTGTAAATATAGTCAATGTTATTTATAGCAAGGATGAAATGTAAAAGAAATTACAAGCTTAGTCCTGCTGGAGAAAAGTTGAGGGACAAAATATTAATACAGAGAAACAGAAATTTTCACTACACTGATTTTATTTTATTTTATACACACAAACAAATGCAATATTGTGTGTGTGTGTGTGTGTGTGTGTGTGTGTGTGTGTGTGCCTGCATGCACATGCGTATGTGCACAGCTTTCCAGACATGTGGAATAGGATAGTTTGAAATTCAATAACTTCAATTGTTTACTACAAGTCTTTTTCAGGCATCCTCTAATCCAGTGGTCTCCAACCTTGGCAACTTTAAGACCTGTGGACTTCAACTTGAGTTGAAGTCCACAAGTCTTAAAGTTGCCAGGGTTGGAGACCACTGCTCTGTCCCAACACCCAGAGATTTGAGTTGGTGGGAACCTGTGTCAGCACCCTTCCCATAACAGCATCTCTGTTACAAAGTTCTCTCCCTCATGAGGCAAGATTCTCAATGGATTTTCTGCAGATTCATAATGTTTCATAGAAAACTCTTTTAAGATATTACTGTATAATAAATTGTTTTGTTATACACCAACCATGCCAGTATTGGCAAATTGGCAAAAATAGTTATATTATTTTAATCCCTCCCCCCACCCTTTGCAATTCTGTATCCTCTTACAATTTGGTAACAGTTTTAAGAACAGGAAGCATAATGCAGAAATAATCACATATGTATTTGTATGTGCCACTAGTTACAAAAACAAAGAGACACTGAAGTTTTTCAGAACAGCTTCCTTTATTATTCCTCACCTACAGAAATCTTATCAAACTAAAGCATTTGCTTCATTAAAATTATACCTTGAGAACTCCCAGAGAAGAATACCTTAACTCTCTTCCTCCCAAATAAATTATCTAAACGTTGCTGACTCTTAGTCCTCTGCAATGCACCCCTCCTTCCTGGGGCTCCACACTACATTCCATTTACATGTTTGTCTACACAAATATTGTAACCAGGGTATTAATTCATAAATAGTCTGGAATCAAGATAAACAATAATACAAGTCTCCAAATGATACCCAGATTATTCCTGGTGATGTAATTGATCAAAATAAGTCCTGCAGTATTTAGCAAAGTAGGTGAATTAATAACTGAATGGCACATTATTTTGTATGTGGTGCTAAAAATGCTTAGGATATATAGTATCTAGTGTAAATGAGTTTTCTACAATACATTATGGATACAATACAATAATTCTGGTGCAACTTGTAGGTTTATTGATTTATTTTTTAGCAAACTATTAGAGCTGAGACATATTTTTATCAAGTGAATGCTGGTATTAAAAGTAATATTGCCATTTGATTTTAGAGAGACAATTTGTTGAGCATTGTAATCTGGTATTTGACTCAGTTCTCATTTACTGAATTAGATAATTGATAACATAATATTTGTATTGTTAGGTATGTAGTAAAATTAATTTTAGTTTTAATAAACTACCGTATATACTCGAGTATAAGCCGACCCGAATATAAGCCGAGGCACCTAATTTTACCCCAAAAAGCTGGAAAAGTTATTGACTCGAGTATATACCTAGGGTGGGAAATGCAGCAGATACCGGTAAATTTCAAAAATAAAATTAATTTTAGGTGTACATAAATAAAATAAAATAAAATAA